TTATTGTCAAAACGGTCTCGCGAGACTCGCCAACAACTGCAAGATGCACGCACAGCTCCAGGCCCTGCGCACTTTAAACCGGTTGAGCTCAGCCTCTCACGAGGGATTTTGCACTTAATTCGAAAATAATTAACTTCAGCGCGGGAAGACGGCCCTTTTTACACCAACAAATTTCGCCACGGAGCGAGTTATAGGTTGCTGAATGTAGAGTGAAGGGGGTGAATTTCATCCCTTGTGACAGAATTTGCATAATTTGTACATGGAGGGTTGCGGAATTGTGACAATGGATTTGTAATAAAGCGCTAATCGCTTTTTAATTCACTGGCGGCAGTAATATGTACAAATTCAATTAGGGAGAAACCACTTAAGACTCCTGGCACTCACCTAAATCAACACTCCTTGTGACCCAGTGAATTCCTCAGCGCGAGGGTGAGACGCTGTGGCATAAATGATGAATGAAGGAGGTGCATTTCTTCGGCCATTAAGTGCGGAATAGGAAGAGGTCGAGAGAAAAGGGAGGGCTGAGGATCGAGGGATCACCAGAATGTTGATATATTAGGCCGAAAGTGATAAACACCCCTGAGCCGGTGTTTTGACTTGAAGAAAATTTATTTCTTTATTTCTTCAACCCCTGCTGCGGCCTCAAACTATATCCAATTCAGTGTGAATTTCTGTCCTCGAAACCTCCGAGGCCTATTTTCGTGTTCCCCAAAAATAGTCGCTGGATCAGAGCTGCAACTTCTCTAGAGCGCCTCATAGGAAATCTCAAGAAAAGTGCCTCTTCGGAGAAAAGTCTCTCCTCTACAACTCTGTTGTACAGACCATGTGCGGAGATTTAGGGTTATCCTCTGTGAACTCGGCTACAAAATGTTCCGTGTTTCGATGGCAAGAATACAAAACCACAGAGCAGAAAGGACCGCATATTGTTCACATTTCTCGAGCATTTCCTTTCATTTTTGCTCGCGACAAAACTCCTCCGCAACGCATTCCAGCGACAGAGAAAAATCCCCATATTCGTGCAGCATTAAAAATTAATTATTAATCACTGCCACAACATAGAAAATTATTCGTATTGTTGAATTTTTGAGCACGTGTTCGGAATTTCTCGGCCGTCGATGATATTCTGTGGGGTCACAATTGGGTGCTAACAACGCGCGCTGGAAGAAAGTTTCGGACAAAAAGCACTCACAAAAATTCACCCGAGACAGCAGTCCAAATAAGAAGCCACGGCAATCAATCAAATATCAATTGACTCGACTTGTCTTAATGAATGTTTGTGGCCACTTCGTCTGATGCCACTTAAAGAGTAACTCTCGTGAAAATTACACCAGCTGACAACTGCAAGCACCTCGAGGTCATTTTTCTCGCTTTTTCAATTCCAAATTGTTTATTTGACTGCCGCGATGAGATGCACAATGACGGATGCGAACGGGAGAAACGCACAGAATCAAAGGTGGCAATTACAGTTAAACTGCGGAGCCCCTTTAAAAGGAGTCATATCAATTTGAATGCGAAGTCTGCAAATAATCATCGATTTGAGGGCACTTTTGTGCTCGTAAATTTTAAGGAAACCTGTGAGAATCTCTCTCTCTCTCTCTCTCTGACAAGTTCAAATTTAATTTCCGCAAATTCACAACCTTCCAGAACAGACTCTTTCGTGTCAAAGTGTTTAACTTTCGCGTGAAAAAACACAACACCTCGGCAGAAGTTCCAAAAAAGCCGCTCTGAATTGCAGAAACTTTACCCCTGAAGCAAAACTCGCGCGACTGAATTGTTCCACCTCAAGACAATGGGAGTGAAATGAGCAAAAATACAATTATAAAGCGCAAAAACACTCATTTAGAGACTATCTCACGTCACGGGACAATTAAAAAAGCTGTGAAATTTCACTCTGTGCGACTTCACACTGTCTTTCCGCCATTTCTTCACGCCAAGAGCAGGCAAAGTGCTTGTCTGTCTGCAAAATATTCGGCCACAAATGCTCTCCCCTTCTGAGGGGGAAGGGCATCATTGTTCATCCAGCCACCCCATAAATGTAGCTGTCAAATCAAATGAAAAACTATTGCTGAATTTTCCCGACACTCATCTCAGGCCCGAAATGGATTCTCTTGTCCATCTGGAGTTGGGTGGTTTAAAGCAATCCTTCTGGCTTGGTAGTCTATTTGAGGGAAAAGTGAATTTTCCAGGGATATTCATGCGTGCGAAAAGAAAATAGTTTGGGGTGTGATTAATGGGATAAAAATGCGCGCATGTGGGATGAGGAGGAGCATTGCCAATACTTCCTCTTCCGCGCCACTTTGCCCATGATCGACACATCAATTAATTCTGGCTCTTAATTAAAAGCTATTAAGCATCTCGCCAATTTGTGTCGCTCGAGGTGTGCCAGACGTGGGAATTTTCCATATAATTTCACCACCATTTTCCATCCGTGTGCGACCTTTTTGCGCCCCAAATACACAAACTCTCATGACTCTGGTGGTGGTGCTTTCGCTGCAAAAGGCATCCAGCCTGTCAGTCAAATGCGTGACATTCCATCGACTCCTCGGAGAGCGAGGGAGACCCTCTTCACAAGTGTTACACCATGGAATTCCACATTCAATATCCATTCCGTCAGTACAATTTAAAACTTTTGCCAAATGGCTCAAAGGTTCAATAAACCACCCCATCTTGAGCAACATTTACAATGTGTTACATTTCTCGGTGCGATGCAAATCATTTTTCAAATTACCTACCCCTCAGCAATGTCATCCGTGAATTTACCATTTCGACAGCAGAAAAAGCCTCTCAGCCACTCTGGATTAATTTCCAATCCGCGTCAATCGATACATACCATCCTTAAAGCTCTGACAAACTTTAATTCATGTGTGCAGATCGGTGACCTTCTTTTTCCATCCCCGATTTGCCGCCAAGATATATAAATCCACCCTCTCCTGGCATTTCCGTATCAATTTTAGCTACTGCAGAGGAAATAGACGCGATTTCTGAGACACGCCGAGATGACTGAATAGAGATGGAAAGGCGTTCATCAATCAAAATCCGACCACTTTTCACGACAGGCCACAATCGATTCGCACAGTTGGACAAGCAAGAAAAAACAGCCATAAGAGTGATATTGCTATTGTGTACATTTCCCCTCGGAGGGCGGTGGAAAGTTGAATTTCCTCCCGGGGTGCTTCAATAATAGATAACACTTCGCATTTGTTGTTTATTAATCAAGTTTCTGTCGTAGGTCAGTGTCTCAATCGATCGGGAAAGCTCTCCTCTCACCGGGTGATCAATAAACTCGAAGAGTGGGTGGTCTGTCTTTGACGAGGGACAGAGATTCGGTCTGGAAGTGCTGTACACTTCCAGCTGCGAAGAAATGTCTGAAATTTTATCATTTGTTCATTACAAAATCCAGACTTCAAATCAAACGTCGCACGGGACAAATTGTTGCTCATTTTATCTTCTTTTATTAAAACAAAATTGAATTCTGAAATATCTGCTCTCCTAAGGTCACACGGATCCTAAATTGTGGCATGGGAAAGCCATAGAATTCAGTGCAGTGAATTTGAAAGCATCATTTATGTCTCTTCTGCACTTCCGCACACTCAATGTACACCATATTCATCGCAGTCACTTCTCTTATCGTAATAGCGATTACGAATTCTCGTCTCAATGGCAGCACTTCTCATAGTCCCCTTCTTTTGCAATTGATATCAATTTCCATGCGGTGAACGATATATTATTTCCCTCGTGTGGCATCTTCAATGAAGTTATTCTTGGCGACGGAGGCGAAACGCCGAAAGGGCGAGGAAGTTGAAAGATGATAGAGTGAATGATGGACGGGAGAAAGAAGGTCTCTGAAATTTCTTGTGTTTTGAAACATCCGAATGGACAGTGACACTGTCAAAATCAATTTCGCGAATGATATGAGCGAGCAGGTGGTTGTTGTTTTGCCATCACGCCCAGCAGTCGAATAATCCAATTCACATAAATGTGCATATTTTTAGCCATCCTCGATGGTGTTCCTCATGACATTCACAAGCGCAGCGAGGAAAAAAACCATGATCATCTCCACGATCTCGCAAGAATCTCAAGATTGTCTAGGAATTTTGTCAAACAGCACGTATCGCTATTCACGAGGAAAAGCCACACAGTGGAGGAATTCATTGCGTCATCTCCCGTTTGTATCATCTGTCGAAGGAACAATTCGGTGATTTGTCTCCACAGCGAGACCGTCGCTCTTGGTCACATGGAACAGCTGATGCTGTCTTTCGGGCATTTGGGGTCATGCATTGCACAATTCGCGGGCTCTCCGGACCAGATGAACAGATCCCCACATGCGAGCCTCCTCGGTGGTGATGGATTTGCCGCTGAGGGAAGAAGATCCTCGCATGTGTGATGCTCTGGCCACTGAGTGGGTGACGACGACGCTGTAAATTAAATTTAATCATCAATTACATCGAATATAAACAAATGGAACGCTAATAGACATATTTATGAGCTCACACTTAATCCCGCGGGATCATCATAAATTCTACGCCTGGCGACAACATCATTTTCCCGCGGTGATTGCTCCCCTTTCGCTCTCTCGTCTCGGGCGACATCTTTTTGCATATTTTCGGTGAGGTCTCACTTGAGCTCCTCACAGAAAAAGTTGACACTTTCATGGGCTCATTTTACTTCACTTACACACTGGCGAAGAAGTCGATTTCGGAGAGGTTTTCCCGCTGTTTTACCAGAGCACAATATCCGTTGCGGAAGAGTTTTGCAAATTAGCAAGAGTTGCGAGGGAATTTATGGACAGTAAATCTTCCCCTTGGCGAATGCAGGGCAAGAGACACATTTGCAAAGAGGTGGGCAATTTGGGCAAGGCCACTCTTGTAAAATTTGCAAACTCTGTGGGAGATAAGCGAATGCGTGAAAATTGAATGGTGCATTTGGGTTCTAATTGAAAGCCACTCCTCAAACTATGTAGATACTGTGAGAGGCAATTAACAGTGATGTGTCTGTTGCAGGCACGGTGAATGCCAACGGTGAGACGAAACGCCAACGGACCTCCTACACCCGCTACCAGACGCTGGAGCTGGAGAAGGAGTTCCACTTCAACCGATACTTGACGCGGAGGAGACGGATCGAGATCGCCCATGCCCTCTGCCTCACGGAGCGCCAGATCAAGATCTGGTTCCAGAATCGCCGGATGAAGTGGAAGAAGGAGCACAAGATGGCATCAATGAACATTGTACCTTATCACATGTCACCGTACGGCCACCCCTACCAGTTTGACATTCACCCGTCGCAATTCGCACACCTGAGCGCATAGGACGCGTGGCACTTTTCGGGTACTGGTTAGAGACTCAATCAGCTGTATCAGGAGCCATATCAGGGGTACCAGAATAATCAGGACAACGTGCTGTTCGGCAGCAGCAATTCTGATTCTTCCAAGTATCCGCAAGACTTCTGATCTCGTGGCACCCTGAAGATCGCACTCTGAGGGCGTCGCCGGGCGCCAGGGAGACTCACAATCAAGTACATGATACAGCTGCTGTGAGACAAATGATCTAAATTACTGGAACATCTCAGAGAAATTTTGCACCCACACCCTTTCTCACACTTCTTCTCACGCTAATCCATCCTCACAGATTTGCACAGTGTGGCTGACATTCATTCCATAAAATGTCAGCGACGCCCTGCAAATTGTCTCTACCGCGAAACATAGCAAGCTCATCGCAAAGTCAAGAAGCTCTGTAAATAACTGAAATTTCATGGGGTGGTCGATCATGTGGTTCAGGTCCAGTATTTTAAATCACATCTCTAATCAGTATTCGAAAAGCCAATTTAGGTGTAAGAACCTTACATTAAGACAGATCAACTCTTATAGGGTACACAAATTGAAGTCTTTTAGTTTCCCGCAAAGAACTGTGGCTCAGGACAGAAGATCAACGATAAAAATACTCAAAGCTTCTTCTGCCCCCGAAAGCCAATGTCATTCTTTTTGCCGTCTGTATATTTGTTGTCATATTTCCTTTTTTTTACGATGAGAAAAGCAAATTTATTGAGAAGAGAGTGAGTTATTGTTTGTTGAATATTTTCACAAATTTGTGTTAAAGATTTTTTTTTTAAATATATAATTTCCTTCCTAAACTAGGGATCAACACATGATAATGAGGAAAATGTGCCGGAAAATGTGAATTATATTTGTTTTATTTAATCCTCTTTAATTGTGTTAGAGAAAAAAAAAGAGAAATTACTTTGTTGACAAGTTTTGTAACAAAAAGTGCAAATCACAATGACATTTCTTCGGAATACCGTGAATGAGAGAAAGTAAATTGTAGTGTAAATTTTGTAATTTATTGTCTGTGGATTTATATGACTTAAAAAGGAGAAGAACACTTATAAAATTCATGTCAATTTAAAAGCAACATGTGTAAACTGTAAGATATTGAATTTCTGCATATTGTAAAAAGGTCGCGCGCGGAAGAAAGTGAGAGATATGATATGTGAGCAAGACATTTTAAATTATGTAGAGAGAGAGAGAGAGAAAAAAGGTATATATTAAGGAAGAGATGCAAATAAAATGAGTGTGTTGTATTTATTTCAAGTATGTGGAGGGTGCAAAAAATTATCGTACGTAATTTTCATGACAGAAGAATCTTGTATAGACATTTCAAAAGGAATGGCGTATTTAAAAGTGGAAAAAAAATACTACAGTGAGAAAAAATTTAACAAATTCGGAGAAAAACAGGGCTTTCGTTCCTTCTCATGACAAGAAAAAGAGCAAAACCTCGACAGGGATTCACCATGATAATTTTAGTTGATCGGTTGAGGAAGAGTCATTTTCCATGAGAGACTGTTGCAGAATTTTTGAGTGTAATAATTTCTTCGTGGCATGAAGCAAATTTGACGCAAAATCTCCTTAATTTATCGTCACATCACCGTTTGATAAATGTTTTTTAATCTTTAACGATTCACACAGCAACAAAACATAAACATTTGTGGTGAAAATGTAAATGAGTTGAAAGAGTGATGAGGTGAGAGATCTTTAGAGAAATATTGTGAAAATGCAAGAGAGAAGCACAAATTTTGTATGATATGTGGACTCTTTTCTCTAAACAGCAACACATTGTGAGTGAGCAAAAGGAGAAACTCAAGAGACGCGATTATGTTATTATGTAGGTATTTTATTTAACTAAGGTTAGTGCATTTTTTCGTAGTTAATTTAATCATGTAAGAAGTCTAAAAAAAATCACTATAGAAAATACTGAGTGTTTGTATAAAAAAAACTGAATCTCTGCATAGTAATTAAATTATATTTAAAGAAAGATGAAAGTGAAAATGGAAGAGTATATAAATTGCAAGAACAATATTATTTGAAAGATAATATTTGTAGGACGTATTTAAAGGATGGTCGAACAAAAATCAATCTACTGTAATAACTATTTATATCTGGGCATAGCGAGTGGAGAAAATGGGTGGGAATTAGGCGAGAGATAGTTCAATAAGTGCCCCAGATCCAATGGATTCTGGGCGCCCGAGAAACCCTTTCTGACGAAACTGCAATAAAAGTCTCAAAGTAAAACTATCACATGACATCCAACTCTTTGCATTCCATGTAAAAAAAAACAATTGCAAATCCAAAAAATACATATGAATAAAATTGTTTAAAACAAGTGGACTTTCATTGAACTCGCTCTAGGCTAGAGCAAGTCAGAGAGACAAAGTATTCTTCATATGTGGCTTGTGGTTTGTGCGCCAACTATAGTCACCACTTTGCACCATTTCACACCACCAGATGTGGTGAAAAGCTGTTTGGAGAGTTGGGTTCGTGTCTCTGCTCTTGGAGACTTTCATCCAGAGATGCACATAGTAAAAGCTCCCTGCGAACAAGTTATCTCTCGCTTGTTGTGTTCCTTGCCATCAGTGGTGAAGTTCCCCAATAAATTCCCCTCGAAGTCCCTGCAAGTATGCAGTTTGTCGAGAAGGTGAATTCGAAAGCGTAAACTTTCTCCAGACCGTGAAGGCTTTCCCCATCCCAAAACCACCAGAGAGCCGTTTTGAGCGGAAGCTTTCAGCAAATTAAGACCTCATTCCACCTCCTGCGCCCACCCCCCGAGAGTGGGGTGTTCCCCGACCCGCACCCCGCGCAGAAAACGATGCGAAGCGAGGGTGAAAGTTGCCAAGAGCCCCCGGGAGAGCGTTTTGAGTGCGGGGGGAGCCCTCCGGCCCCCAGATACACCCTTTGTGCCTCGGCAGAGGGGTGCTGACAGTGTAGCTTAGCTGGTCGATGCTGAAAAGGACATTTTAGACCATTATCATGCGCACTGGGTCACCCATACGGCCTTCCAGCGTGAGAGTGTCACCTCTGGGAGCGACACCTGAACAACTTGGGGCCACCATCTGGCCCAATGTTGCCACCTCAATTGTCTGTTTATGGCCGAGGGGATGATGAGGCATGTTTGCCACCTATTTCGCGGACAGGTGGCAAAAGCCAGGGGCCGAGAATTGCTTGGGAAAACATCCCGTCCGCTGTTGCTGTGCCGAAGAAGCGCCAAAATCCGAATTTCACCATCGCCGAGCGTCGCTGCTGGAAGAGACTATGGGCGATATCAGGGCGTCTTTAGTTGTGTGTATAGTTTCAGTTGAAATCTTGCCACCTAACCAAAAGCACACACTCGAGAGTGCTCGAGCATTTCAACGCTGCAAGAAGTTGGCACTCTTGGTGGCTGAGATGGGCCTGCTGCTGGACTCTGGAGACATCCCGCCCATCTCACTTCCGGTGACAGTGATTTTCTGTGCTCTCCCCGAGACTCTGCCGCCGACGAACAGCTGCGCTGGGACCTCGCGGAGACTCCAAGTAAGTGACCAGGGAAAATCCCTCCGCGCCAGAGTCCAATGAGGCCAATCGCGAGCCTAAGTCTCTCGCCTGGCCCTCACCCCTCCTCACGAGCAACCCCTTGAGCAGCTCTTCCCCACCCTCAGCACTTGATCAATCACAAATCCCTTTCATCATCATCGCCGAAAGTGGATTGGGAGGCCGCCACGGTGAATTGAGCCACCTCAGGGCCATTTGCAACCCCGTCGAGGGGGTGAAGGCGCAAACACACCCCGCACTGGCGCTCTCTGTCGCACGCATTTCGCGTGGAAACCAGTTTGCCGTTGAAGCGCATGACCGGAATTTCATTCCCATATGAAATCATCTTGGACGGTTTTTTCGTCGCGCCTTCTCGCTCGCAGGAGCGTCAGCCAGAGAGGGACGGCGCTAGGGGAGAGGCACAAGAGAGTGCTTGACACTCTTGGGCCCACTTTCATGGCCGCACCCTGTACGCGATGCTCCCTCGGCGAGAGCGTGTCGATATCGCACTTCTTCACGCGAAAAATCCACTTCCGATGCCCCGGAAGGCGCCCACCGCGAGACTCAAGTGAGTTTAGCCGTTAAATCGGGTTCAAGTGTTGTAAATTGTTTACAGAGCCAAACGGTTGAGATCTAATCACACTTTTAAAGCCACATCAGCAAGGAAATCGACAGAAATTGACGATTTCCATTGGACAACCCTTGAAAATCGCACTGGATCGCTGATCTTTTACACATTTTCCCACTCAAAAGCATTCTAATATTCTCTTTTATTGAAAATTAATTTATTAAAACCACAAATACTCGTTATATTGCCATATCAGAGACCAAGAAATGCTTTAGCCCTTGGAGTTTCTACTTGTGAGATTATCATGCTTAACCCTGAATCAATTTCTACTGAGTGCAATAAACTTGTAGTAAGTATGCCTGAGCATGAAAGAGTGTTGCCATAACAAAATCGCATCGCATCGCGACTGATTCCCCAATAAATTCCACCTCAAATTCCATTGAAAGTGTAACAGAAGTCTCGAAAAACCACACGAAAAGACCATTTCCGGAGATTTTATGTGCGTTTCGTGCCTGAGATATGAGAAATGGCATTAAGATTGAGCCTTCCCGGGGTGGATTTTCTTATGCAGCGGGACAAAAGTGACCCACAATGGGCGAGAGATGTGTCCAATTGGGTGCTCAAATTGACTTCCGCCGCCTGGAAATGTGGGTCTATTTGTGTGGCCAGTGCCCACTCTTTGCGATATTCCACACACACAATTAATTCCATAAATTTCCCAGCCACTCAGAATCGCCTTTGGATTCACGGAGAAAAGCAGTTCAATGAAATGCCATCGCGCTCAAAATGTATTCCTCTTTTTATGTCTTTCACCAATTTTTATAAAGGAATTCCGTCAAATTTCTATAAAGCCGAAATACGGTGTTTTGTGGAAATCACAATTTTGACGACCATTGGGCCAATG